GTCCGTCCCCCGTTCCCTCCCTCCCCCGTTCGTCCCTCTCCACTCTCCATTGTCTGAACCACGGCGGACTCTAAAGCTCCGGTGAGGCGCTCTAATCGGGAACTCGTATGGATGGCTGGAGTCCACATCTCAGCCTCGGTCCCTGGATGTCTCCGTGGTGGAAACTCATCTGGACGTTATGATTGGACGGGGAGCACGGGGAGTGGCTGAAAGCGCCACCTTTGGACCGAGAACTGAAGTGTCATGAGCCCAGAGAACCCGGGGGCGGAGAAGAAAGAAAGAAAAAAAAAAAAACGGACTTTGAAAAGTTTGATCAATAAAAAATAAAATGTTGATGTTGAAATGTTAAATTCATAATTTAGTTTTGTGAAGAAACAGAAATTTATATTTATAATTTATATTATTTTTCATATCATAGAAAACTTTTGTACGTCACAGATAAAGGTAAATAAATTAAAAAGATTAAAAACGTATTAATAATAATAATAACAGTTTGAGTCTTTGCAGTTACTACAAGCTGCCACAGGAGGTGCCACTAGGGATATTTGGTTCCTTTGAATTATTATTCTTTTCTTTTAAGTCTCAAATAAAAAAAAAAAAAGAAAATATTTTTCGAGTTTTTTTTTTCTTTCTCAACAGCCGTCCGACAGTTAAAGACACCTCTTTGCCCCACTGCCCACTCCTCCACCGCCCTCCATCAGCCTCTGTCGCACTTGTCAGTGCCTTTGTCAGTACACCCCCGCCCCCGCCCCCCCATTTCTCCCCCCCATCAGAAATGTGTTTGTGAGAAACTTCACGTGGAGACGAATTTAAAACATGAGGAAAAAGTGGAGCGAGGAGTTTCACCAAATACAACTTTTTGTCACTGCGTAACACCTGCATTAACAGCACCCCTCCTGCTCCCCCCTCCCTCACCCCTGATCGGACCCCCACCCTCAACACACACACTCATCCCTCATCCTTCAGAACAAAACCCCTTAACTCCCCCTTCCTCACCCCC